AAAAAAAAAAAAAAAAGAAACATGGGTCTGAAAAATCATAAGATACATAAATATTTGCTATAACTAGATGTATTTTTTCATTTTTAAAATGTACATGTACCTGCAAATATATGTATTTGGATATACTTTGTCACATTTTTTGTAACAGCAAAAATGTTGGCAGGAATAAAAATGTCTAAGATGAATGGATAAGTGAATTTGAGACTTTTATACAATGGAATACTATACAGCAGTCAAGATGAGTGGGCATGTCTCATCAACTTGAACAACTCCCAATAGTCTGATGTTAAGTGAAAAAATAAATTTGCAGAATATTGTATATACAATATCAATGTAAGCATATAAGCACAAACAGAAAGGAAGGGGTTAATCACTCTTGAGCACCAACTATGCATCAGGGGGCCTACCTCAGTTAGCCGCTATGGCAACCCTATAAACTAGTTAATAGTATTAGGTGTTTTTCAGAGGTCAGGAAACAGGTTCAGTGGGGTCCCACAGAGCCCAGAAGCAGCCTAGAGCTGCTGACCCCATAGGCTGGCTCCTTGTAGCCTGTCCCTCTCAGGCAGCCCAAGGACCCAGACCTGGGCTTGCTCTGGGCAACAGGCCCTGTAACTCCAGCCTCTGCTCCTACCCCTGCCCACAGCCTGGGGAAGCCCCAGCTGGGCTGGATTGCCAACAATGCCTCCCATTCAGCCCTGTCACTGCCGCCAGGCCTGCAGGCCAACGAGGGGGGTTCCTGCCAACATCCAGCCAGGAACAGGACTATTGCTGGCCTTCCTCTTGTGCTGAGCCTCCGGTCTGGGCTGGCAGCTTGAGGCGGCATGGAGGGGTGAGTTTTGGGGCCCCCAGGGTGCAAGGCAGCCTTAGATCGGCTGAGTGGTTGCAGGAAAGTCCCCACTCTTCTCTGGGCCTCTGAGAGTCTGGCAGGCAGGGGCTCTGGGACGTTCCTGGGCCTGAGATTCAACAAGGGTCTCCCAGAGGTGCGTCCTGAGGAACAGTGGAGGGAACGCGGCTGCTCTGGTGCTCCTGGGGCTTGGACCCTCCGCTGGGAGCAGTCCTGAGCCTTCCACCCTCTGCTGAAGGCCTCTCCCTGAGCCATAGCCTTTGCCACAAGCTCTGGAGAAGACCAGCAGCTCCAAGACGGGGTGGACCCTGGGACTCAAAGGGGACTAAAACACAGTGACAGTGAGCAGAGACTGGGGAGGCCTGAAGGGCAGCAGCCTAGGCATCAGGAGAGGCCATTGTGAAACAAACTGAGAACAGAAAGAAGAGCTGGGCAAGTCAGGCGATGCGAGAAGCAAAGAGGGGGCTCTGGGCAAAGCCATTCCCGGTATGGCATGGTGGGGGACCACAAGGAGGAGGGAGGATTTCAGCTGCAGATCAGGAGTCAGGACCTCCACTAAAGACAGTAGGAAGATCTGGGGTGTTTTCAGCTGTGAGTGTCAGGGCCTCAACAGCATTCTGGAAAATTCCCTTTGGTTACTGGGTGGTGAGCGGAGAAGAGAAGCCAGAAGAGCCACGGTGGCAGCACTCAGAGCTGGGAAGGGGTCTGACGGCGGGTCGACAGATGCATGGGTGGACAGAAGGATGGATGGACGGATGAATGGGTGGGCAGATGAGCAGGTACATCTTGCCCAGAGCACAATCCACAATTCACACCCTCGTCTCCCTCCCCCTGATCCAATCCTGGTCAGCTGGGGGGTACCAAGGTGAAGGGAGGACAGAGGGAAATAAACAGAGAAGACTCCTGAGCTGCCTGCTTGTGTGGCTCTGACCTGCCACACAAGGGCCACCCCAGGATCAGTCTCAGGCCCTACAACGCCTGGTCCTCCAGTCCTGCTGACACTTGAGCGAGGCCTGGGTCCCCTTGGACTGCCAAACTGTCTTCTCAAGATGGGCGTCATTATGCCACTTGCTCCTGGGGAGCTGGCACCATGTCTAAGAATGGGCTGCTCACCACAGCCTGGGGGCATACTGTGACTCCCAGACTCCTCCTTATGTTTGGCCTGTTGTCACTGAGCCTGTGGACAGAGAATCAAAAGGACCCACTGGTTGACTTTCTGAGCCTTGGTTTCCTCCCATGTAAAACAAAGCCCATAACAGAATCTGCAATGCATGGGGTGAGGAAGAGGCCTAAAGGAGAAAGGCTCTGAGGGGTTCTGGGGCAGAAGCTGCTCAGTGGCTGGGGCTCTGAGATGGACTCCACCCCTGTGGACAGCCACTCTCCCCTGCTTCTCCCAGGCCCCAGAGCTCCACCCATGTCCCCTTGTTGCTGCCGCTGCTTCTGCTGCTGCCACTGGGTCCAGCATGGCAAACAGCTGCCCAAGGCTGCCCACAGACCTGCATCTGTGACAATTCCAGGCTGCATGTTGCCTGCCGGCACCAGAACCTTACTGAAGTTCCAAATACCATTCCTGAGGTCAGCAGGGCAGGAAATGGGCACAGGGTGGTTAGTGGGTGGTTAGTGGGGCAGTGGAAGGAGCCTGGGTTGGGCACCTCAGTCTTCTGTAAAATGTAATAGCAACCAATACCAGGGAGCTAATCTATTTTAAATCCTTACTGTGTGACTAGATTAAGTCGGTGGCGGCTTATAGATAGGCATCAAATTCATTGCCAACCATGTGACAGACCCTGTGGGGGTAGCAAGGTGGGATGTAGTCTCTGACTTATGGTTATGAGTGAGTGTCAAGACACTGTGAAAGTGTCACAGTGGGACTATCAGTGGCTGGGGAGAAAGGCTTCTTGGAGGAGGGGTCAGGAAGCAGGATGAAGAGAAATGAGGGGAAGGTAAGGGGAGAGGAGTGTCCCCAGCCCTGCCCCTGTACAGCTCAGCCTTGCTTCCCTCACCCCCAGCTGACCCAGAGGCTGGACCTCCAGGGCAACATGCTGAAGGTGATCCCTCCAGCTGCCTTCCAAGCCCTGCCTTACCTCACCCATCTGGACCTGCGGCACTGTCAGGTGGAGCTGGTGGCCGAGGGCGCCTTCCGAGGCCTGGGCCGCCTGCTCCTCCTCAACCTGGGCTCCAACCGCCTGAGCTCGCTGCCCCAGGAGGCGCTGGACGGGCTGGGCTCGCTGAGGCGGCTGGAGCTGGAACGGAACATGCTGGAGGAGCTGCGGCCTGGGACCTTCGGGGCCCTGGGCGCACTGGCGACGCTGAACCTGGCCCACAACGCCCTGGTCTACCTGCCCGCCATGGCCTTCCAGGGGCTGCTGCGTGCCCGCTGGCTGCAGCTGTCTCACAACGCGCTCAGCGTGCTGGCCCCCGAGGCCCTGGCCGGCCTGCCCGCCCTGCGCCGGCTCAGCCTGAACCACAATGAGCTCCAGGCCCTGCCCGGGGCCGCCTTGTCCCAGGCCCACGGCCTGGCCAGGCTGGAGCTGGGCCACAACCCGCTCACCTACACGGGCGAGGAGGACGGGCTGGCGCTGCCCGGCCTGCGGGAGCTGACGCTGGACCACGGCGCGCTGCAGGCCCTGGGCCCCCGGGCCTTCGCCCACTGCCCGCGCCTGCACACCCTGGACCTCCGAGGGAACCAGCTGGACACGCTGCCCGCGCTGCAGGGCCCGGGCCAGCTGCGCAGACTGCGGCTGCAGGGCAACCCGCTGTGGTGCGGCTGCCAGGCACGGCCCCTGCTCGAGTGGCTGGCACGGGCGCGCGTGCGCTCGGACGGCGCGTGCAGAGGGCCGCGGCGGCTGCGAGGCGAGGCCCTGGACGCCCTGCGGCCCTCAGACCTGCGCTGCCCGGGAGATGCGGCCGAGGAAGAGGAAGAGGAGAGGGCGGGCTCTGCGCCCCGAGCCCCTACGCGCGCCCCGCAGGAGGAGGACGGGGCGGCTACGCCCTGCCCGCGCGCCTGCGTGTGCGCCGCCGAGTCCCGCCACAGCAGCTGTGAGGGCCGCGGCCTGCAGGCAGTGCCCCGTGGCTTTCCCAACGGCACTCAGCTCCTGGACCTGAGGCGGAACCACTTCCCGTCGGTGCCTCGAGCGGCCTTCCCTGGCCTGGGCCACCTGGTGTCGCTGCACCTGCAGCACTGCGGCATCGCAGAGCTGGAAGCCGGCGCCTTGGCGGGGCTGGGCCGCCTGCTGTACCTCTACCTCTCTGACAACCAGCTCTCTGGGCTCAGCGCAGCCGCCCTGGAAGGGGCCCCCCACCTTGGCTACCTGTACCTGGAACGCAACCGCTTCCTGCAGGTGCCCGGGGCCGCCCTGCGCGCCCTGCCCAGCCTCTTCTCCCTGCACCTGCAGGACAACGCTGTGGAACACCTGGCACCTGGGGATCTGGCTGGGGTGCGGGCCCTGCGCTGGCTCTATCTGAGTGGAAACCGCATCACCCAAGTGTCCCCTGGGGCGCTGGGCACAGCTCGGGAGCTGGAGAAGCTTTACCTTGACAGGAACCAGCTGCGGGAGGTGCCCACTGGGGCCTTGGAGGGGCTGCCTGCCCTCCTGGAGCTGCAGCTCTCTGGGAATCCACTCAGGGCCCTGCAAGATGGGAACTTCCGGCCTGTGGGCAGGTCACTGCAGCACCTCTTCCTGAACAGCAGTGACCTGGAGCAGGTGGGCACCTGGTGTGTGACCAGGGAGGCAGCACGGGGCTATAGTGGCATCAGACATTTGCCCCCTTCAGTGCCAGGTTTTAGGCTCAGCATGGGGACCTGAGATAAACAGACAATTCACCCAGGTGTGGGTTATAAGCCAGGTGGAATTCAGTGCCACAAGCTAGAGGCCTGCCCAGGGAGGGCACTGCCAGGGCATGGAGGAGGGGAGGGAGGAATTTGGGTTTATCTAGGTTGAGAGTCCATGAGGCTTTCCCTTATGGGAGTTGGGGTTCAAGCTGTAGAAAGAACCATGAATTGGGCAACAGGGTGACCTGGGTTTTGACCAGCACTGACCTCCCAACCTGCGCCTCCTTGGGCTCTACAACCTCTCCTTTGCTAGGGAGGGTGGAGCTTCCCCCAGCTCAGGGGCAGGACAGGCCTGGCAGGAGCTCACACCAGGGCCTGGCACCTTCTTACAGATTTCTCCTGAAGCCTTCTCAGGCCTGGAGCTGGGGCTCCAGAGCCTGCACCTGCAGAAGAACCAGCTTCGGGCTCTGCCCGCCCTGCCCAATCTCAGGCAGCTGGAGCTCATCGACCTCAGTGGCAATCCCTTTCACTGTGACTGCCAGCTTCTTCCGATGCACAGGTAGGCACCCCACCTGGACCCCAGCCAGGGACCCACCAGCTGCTCTCAGTCAAGCCCCCAAGTGTCTCTGGGCACCATGTCAGTAAGGCTGATCAGCTGGCAGGGGCCAGAATGGGCCCGGCCAGAGCAAGAAAGCATGTGTTCTTCTGGGATTAGGCATCCTCCCTGGAGGGGGCTTGGTGGACTTCTCTGAACCTCATTTCCTTCATCTATAAAGTGGAAATGATATTTGCCCTGCCTAGAGGACTAGGACCTACTAAATGTGTGTATTATCTTTCTTATTTAATTTTTACGTAATTACACAAGGAAGTAACAAGACCCTGGAGGCAGGCAGACCTTGGCTTTAAGATTTTACCAACAAACTCAAGTCACGTGACCTGTGTCCACCCGTGAAAAGGGATGAGTATTTTATGTACCTCAACATGACCTCTGTAAGAATTCAGTTAAATTAGTTAGCAGAGCCCTTTGTAATTTACTGTTCTCATTCCGCTTTCATAGAGAAGGGGTCTGAGGCTTGAAGTGACTTCGAGGTCACTGATGGGTGAAGCTCTGAGCCAGGACTCTCAGAGGAGCTGCTGCCCCCAGGCTCACTGCCCAGTTCCCCACCACTCCTCACTCTCCTCAGGAAGCTCCTGACTGCACATCGGCACAGTGGGCTCCCCGACCTTTCATCTCTCCTCAGGTGGCTAGCTGGGCTGAACCTGCGGGTGGGGGCCACCTGTACCACCCCTCCCAGTGCCCGGGGCCAGCGGGTGAAGGCGGCAGCTGCTGTCTTCAGAGCCTGCCCAGGCTGGGCTGCCAGGAAGGCCAGGTGGACACCGACCTTCATGCCTGGGGGCAGGAGGACCCCCATCAAGAGGAGACAGCAAGAAGCAGACAAGGTTGGCCTGGGGCTGGTGGGCCAAGTCCCAGGGCCTCAGGGCCATTAGATAGGGTTGTGTTAGCTCCCTGGGGGCTGCCACAACAAAGTACCAGGAACTGGGTGGCTTAGAATAACAGAAATGTGTCTGTTCTGGAGGCTAGAAGTTGGAAATCAAGGTGTTGGCAGGACCACACTGTCCCTGAAGCCCTGAGTGGAAGGATTGGAAGGATCCTTTCTTGCTTCTTCTAGTTGCTGGTGGCCTGGGACATTCTGTGGCTGACAGTGGCATGATCCCACCAGCTTCCATCTTCACCCTATATCCTGCCTCTTCTCATCAGCCTCTCTGTGTCTGTCTCTGCAAGTCCCCCTTTAGGAGTACCAGCCACATTGGAGCAGGGCCACCCTAAAAGGACCATTTTAATTCCATTACCTCTGTTAAGACCCTATTTCCAAATTAAGTTCGGATTCGGAGTGACTAGAGGTTAAAGGCTCCAATGTATCTTTTTAGAGGAAACACAGTGAACCCATAACAGCTTTCCAGGGGCTGGGAGTGAGGAAGGACCCCCAGTGGTGGCTGAGAAAGATCTGCCTTAGAAGCCAGACCCAGAGCTAGTTTAGTGACTTAGCAATGTCAGTCTTAGCTGACACTCATGTGGCACCGACCTTCTTCCAGGCACTGTGCTATTCAACAGCATTGGTGCTTCTCCCAGAGTCAGCCCCAGCAGAAGCATGGGAGGCGCTGAGCTGTGCTCCGGAATGCAAGATCTGAGGAGTCCAACTCCAGGGCAGGGCCTCAGCTGAATGGGTCTGATGGCTTCAGCAGGAATCAGGACTTCAGACCTTCTGATCCATTCTGACATGGAAATATTCCTAGGGCTTGCTGGGCAAGGTAGTGCACCCCTGTAATCCCAGTGGCTCAGGAGGCTGAAGCAAGACGATAATAAGTTCAAGGCCAGCCTCAGCAATTTAGCAAGACCCAGTATCAAAAATTAAAAAAGGGCTGGGGATGTGGCTCAGTAGTGAAGCACCACCTGGGTTAAACCCCCAGTACCAATTCCTAGTGCCAGCACTGGAGTTCTGGGTTATTTTAACAAATAGCAGTTTCTCCCCAGGATACAAAGGAATTGAAAGCTAAGGGCTCAACCCTGGCAGTGTTGAAGCTGGAGGTGAGGTGCCCCCTGCTGAGGGCAGGAGGCTGCCCGTCTTTCTTCCTTGAGGCCCCAACATTTTGGTGTGTGGCACACAAAAGTGCTTTGACACGTTGATGGACGAGTGCCAGAGTACTGGGGGCAACTGGTGGGCCACACTGGGCTGTCCCCGCTGCTGCCACTTAGCATTGTAGTTTTAAGCAACCAATTCACAAAACCTCACCTCAGAGTGACGTCACAGGGTGACAGTGAAGGCGAGTAGGCTGATTCTGCCCTTGGTCTTATGCCTGGCATAGGAGGCTCTAATAAGACATGGTTATTCCCTTGCTGCCCTGACTTTGAACAGGGTGGTCTTTACAGGCTGATCCTGGAAAGGCTGAGAGGTGCAGGGCAGTCCCCTACAGTGCTTGGTCTGATCTCTAGCGGTGGCCACAGGGGGCCGCAGGCAGGGGCAGGAGGGAGTGAGGACGGTTTGGGGATGCTTCCCAGTCAGCAATCCATTGTTGAGACTCCGCGACCTTCAGTTCCACCCAAGGGCAAGTTGAGGCACATGGTTCATTCTGAGTAAAAATTTCCAGGTCAACACTTCCACCTGTGACAAGTCAGACAGACTGGAACGCGGGTCATGTGCACACCCTTCTACTTCATCAACACTCCTGGAGCCCAACTTTGTACCAGGCCTGAGCGAGGCACTAGGGACAGATAAGATCCGGGCTTCCTTTGGGGAACTTGTGGCCTTTGGGGAGGGGACACATCAGTATGTGGTTGTTATGGAGATGGGACACTCAGCAGTGATGATAGATGACACTTACTCCCTGGCGGACAAGTGTGAGCCAGTCCAGGCCAAGTGACAGCCCAGCATGTCCTGCGGCTCTGCCCTCATCATGGAACTTCTAGGGCACAGCTTCTTCATTTAGGAACTAAAGGTCAAATGGCATATAAGCCTCTTGTCAGAAGCCCTTGGGTCAGAATAATGCCTAACTGCTAAGGAACCTGATGAGATGAATTCCCTTCAGCTGGACTCCTGAGCAGACAGCAGAGCCAAAGTGCACCCTGGGACACTCTTCCTCCCAATATCCTCCCGAGGGGCTGCTGTCACTGGCATGTCACCACTGAGTCCTGGAGCTGGTGTGTGCTGAGGGCAGGAATGGCCGTTCTGAGCAGAGACCTGCCTGGTCTCTAGGCAGCCCAGTGGTCTTCCATTCTTAACCTATTTACTTCTTAAGGAAATCAGGCTAGGCCAACGGGCCACTTTCTAGGCATGTGTTCTGAACAGGGCTTTATCGAGGGGAAAAGAACCAAGTTCTCTCTGCATCTGTCCAGAAGTGCCCAGCCTGTGATGACTGATGCCTGCCCCATCTCAGGCACAGACCCGTTGTGGGTCCTGAGCCAGCCCTAGTCTGCACACCTCAGCAAGCAGCTGACAGACCCGGGTCCAGGCTGCCTGCACAAGAGTCAAGAGCCATGCAGGCCCTGAAGGCAGCTGGACACAGCAGCACAGCTGCAGCCCTGGCAGGACAAAGGGATGCACATGGCACCATCCAACACACAGGTGGGAAGGAAAGGGCTACCTCTACCCTGGGTTCCAGGATGCTACACGAGAGGCAGGACAGCTCAGTTTTGAGGGAGACTAACTGGGAGAAGCAAAAGCAGCTGGAAACTGGGCAGACACCAGGTGAACCTCTAGAGTGCAGTTTCCGAAGCCAGCGGAATCAGGAATTAAAAGGACAATAAGAAAAGCAAGCTGGGAGGCACACCCGCTATACCTGCTGGTCCCCTACTCCAGGGGGTGCTGTGAAGGATGGGGAAGAGTGTCCTTGAAGGTTCATGGGCAGCAGTACCAGCCACACCCTGGGCCAAGGCCATACCAGACATGGGTTAACAGTGGGGATAAGGAATGAAAGGTGGATCCAACCCTAGCTAGAACCCAGGGGAGGCCAGGCACTGTGGGGGGCCCAAGGTAGGAGAGCTGAGCTCCCTGTTGCTGTCCCCAGCAGTAAGCAGCCTGGCCTCCACCCTGTCACCAAGTCGGCCCAGGCCACTGCAAGCCTCCCCCACTTTCCTTTTAGGAAATACGAACCAGTGCTCGTGCCCACAGAGGAGAGAAGTAAAGGCCATGACAGATCACCAATGCCCATTAACCTGGTCAGTGCTTCTCAGCTGCCTGCCATTGCACAGTTCCTCTGGTGCCACGAGGCACACAGGGCCTTCTGTGTGGTTTGACTTTAGGCAGAGCTGCTCCTGTCCCTCTGCTCACTGTCAGCACGGGGACCTTCCCATCAGAGCTGCTTCATAATTTTATTCTTGGGCAAACGTACAGGCGGATCACACACTGTCTTGTCCCTCGTCTTCCAGTGTGATGGCAGCAGTGCCCACACCTGTTGGGGGCACAGCAGGTTGGGCAGCAGGTGCACCAGCTTCAGAAGCCTGGGGCCACACAGGGAGTCACTCAGTCACTCAGATGCTTGGGGCCTCAGGCATCCCCAGGCACACAGGCCTCCAGGGGAGGATGGAGGCAAGAGGCGGGTCCTTCAGCAGGCAGCCTCCACATAAGAGGCAGGACATACACAAAAAAGGCTCAGTCTCCCATCTCAAGTGGGGTGGAACGGTGGTGGCCCACGAGCCCCAGCCTCCCCTCTGTTCCATGGCCTGGGCTGGCTCAGTCATCAGTCTCTTGCTTGATGTTCTCGAGGGGGACAGGCAGCTCTGGACTAGGAGCCTTGTCAGGAGAAGCCATGTCCAGGTGCTCTTCCTTCACACACACAGCAATGACTAGAGGGAAGCAGAGAATGAGTGTGCAGTCCCAGGAAGGCTGACAAGGGACCTGGCTTCCTGCAGAGGGGGCCCCCAGGGGGCGGCCGGGAACTGGGGAGGCCACCTCTACCCTCCTGCTCACTTCCCAGAGGCTGCAGCAGAGAGGCCCAGGGTGCCAAGCACAGCCTGCCTGGACTGGGTGTGCCAGAGATACTGGCATCTGCCAGTCTGCCCCCACCCTGCCAAGTCTGTCCAGTGGGCAGAGGTGCAGAGGAAGAGGGCGGGGCACCTGGCTGGACAGAGACTGGGCTTGGCTCAGAGTTGGGGGCGGGCGTTTGGGAAGTTCTACAGGCCCAGTGGTTCAAGGGCTGCTTGGTGCCCAGAAAACTCTCTTCAAACTTGACTCTACTCTTCTGTGCCCAGGTGGGGAAGAAGAGGGGCCGCCTCTGAGCACGGAGCAGGCCGGCCCTGCCTTGATCTCGCCCGGCGGCTCTTACTCTCATCAGGAATAGGCTCCGATGGGACCTTCCCCGCAGCCTGCAGGTCGTCCTCCAGCAGGGGCTTCTTGGACCCCTGTCTAAGGGGCCGAGTCTTGGTCGGCGGGATTCTTTTCCCTTTGAATAAAAATGGAATGAACTCAGCCTTAGGGTCATATCTATATGAGGCTTGCAGGGCTGGGTCTCATCCAGAGGGGAAGCGCCAGTTCCGGGCAAAGGGCCTGGCCTACAACTGACAGTCCTCCCCGCTGGTTGGACGTCCCAAGGTCGGAGAGGTTTGCTCCAGTCGGGGATCACTACCACCTCCTTGGGGCCAAGGCTTGGGGCAGTCCTGGGTGTCAATCCCTCCACCAGTGACCTGCCATATCCCAGCCCCTACCATTCTGAATGGCACAGTGCCTCCTTCTATGCCCCATGTTTTTTCTTTCTTTTTTTTTTTGTGCTGCAAGGGATGGAACCTAGGCAATCACTCCACCAACTGAGCTACCTCCCCAGCCCATGTTTTCTTATTGTGGCACTGGGGACTGGACCCAGTGCCTGGCACATGCCAGGCCCATGCCCTACTTCTATGCTGCATCCAGCCCTCTTCTTTATCTTACTCTGAGACAGGTGTCACTAAATTGTCAGGCTGGCCTTGAACTTGTGATTCTCCTCCTTCAGCCTCCTGAGCTGTGGGGTTACAGGTGTGCACCAGTGTGCATGGCCCAAATCCTGCTCAGTCCTGCTCAGGACTAGTCCCCGTCTCAGCTCGTCCTATTTAAGCACGTGTTCCTCTCTCCTCGTGGTGCCATGTTGAGGAAATCTACCACCTACCCTCAGGGCCTGCAGCTCTGAGGATGGCCCAGTCAGGGCTCAGGATCTATTTGGGGTAGGCCTAAAAGCCTGGTGGAGTCTGCCTGCCCACTCAGCAGCCCCCTGTGCTCTGCTCCACCAAGGGGGTCTTGAGAGGCAGCAATCTCGGGACAAGGTATCTATTTCCTCCTGTGCCTTTTTCTTAAGACCTAGCAGCTGCAGGTGCCTCGAGGCATGCTGGGTTCTAGCTCTGCGCAGCGGGGATGGAGATGACCTTTCTAAATACGATCTCGTTCTTTTTCCTCAGCGTCCTGACCACTGTCAGAGACTGAACTCCCCTTTGATGCTCTGGGTCCCCAAAGGCACAGGGTGCAAGGCCCTTGGGCTGACAGGCAAGTGAGGAGAGGAGGGAACAGGAAGATGGCTGCGTGGGGCGGGTGGCCACGAGAACAGGCCGCTTTGGGGCTTGCTTACTTTTCTTCCCAAACTGTTTCTTTTTCTTTTTTGTGGCCTCTTTGGCTTTCAAAGGTGTGGCTGGTTCTGTGATTGAAAGAAAGAGATGACGAGAGAGCACTGGAGGATGCAGGGCACATCCTGAGGCCCCCGGTCCCCTCACACACAGGGCACCCCAAGGAGGGCAGCCCCAGCTGGGTAGTGAGAACAGGGTGGGCCTGGGGAGGGCCTGGGGAACAGCTGTCCCGGCTTCCCACCCTCGTCACCAGGGCTGCTCAGGTGCCTGGGTGGTTTACCTGGGTGCACAAGGACCCGAGCCTATGACAGAATGGGCAAGATGAAGGAAGGAGCACTGCAGGCCGGAGGGAGGGGGGACAGAGAAGTCAGGAGAGGGGGGAGGCAGGGCTCTCTGTGTAGAGCGTCCCCAAGACTTCTCCATCCCATGCCAAGGAGCTGAGCTGGCATGGCAGGGTGGGGCGGGGAGGTGGGCAGGGAGGAAAGAGGAGGAGGAAGAAAGTCAAGAGCCCCTCAGAGCCACAGGAGCCCCGACCTGCAGCCACAGGAGGCTGGAGCTGGTAGCCAGTGAGTTCGCACCAGCCCACAGGGTAGATGTCCGGGGACTCGCAATCCACCCACTGGTCATACTCGTTGTCCCAGCCATCAAAGTGGATGCTGAGGAGCCGGTGAACCACCCGCTTCACGGTGGCCACACAGATGAGCCGGGGCTCCATCAGGTCCACAGCCTCCAGCTTCATGCCCACCTTGAAGCCATGGTTGGGGCAGTCCTGGGGGAAGAAGGCACTTGCCAGGCCAGCCAGCTCGCCACCCCAGCAGGCTTGCCTAAGGGCAGCAGTGGGCAAGGTCCTCTGGACACCCACTCATTGAGCCCTTCCCAGACACCAGCCCTTCCCCTCTTCTGAGAGGACAAGCTAATAGGCTCAGCGAGTGCCGTGTCACAGTGTGGGACTTCTTTGGACATAGCTGATCTCAGTGGTAGGGCCTCAAGAGAAGAGGCTGGAACTGCTGCCACAGACAGCAGTGGGAGGGGCAGTCCTGAGGCCACCACAGAACCCCTGCTCCATCCCTGGTCTCCTCACCATGTTGAAGAGTCTTGATGGAGCTGCTCTTGACTTGGTCTTCTCCAAGTAGGTGTCCCAGTTGAAAGTTTGTGTCTCATACCCTGGAAGAAAGGGTAGGGGAAGTAGGAAGTTGGTCAGGGATAAGGAACACACTGTCTGAAGAGTTACTACAACTTGGTCAGGCCCAGCCTGCAGTCTCCACAGCAACTCTTTCTTCCTTCCTTTCTGGGCTGGCACCTGTTCTATGACCACAGTCTTGTTGCACAGGCTGTTCACTGGCCAACGGCACAAATGGAAGCTCCATTTACCAACCATACACTGGCCATGGGGCTGACTCGGCCCAGGCAGTGTAATGGCTAGCGGTGGCTGTTACCTCCCCCATACTGAGACTCCATGCCCCAGGGCTGACTTGACCAGCAGTCTGGGCCTGTGGCCTCATCCTGCAGGGCTAGCACTTGTTGCTACGCCAGTCTTACCTTTTGGGGGTGTGAGCTCAATGTCATTCTTTTGGCAGAAGGTGGCTGGGAAGATGGCATGGGAAGAGGCATGGTAACAGAACCAGTCGGAGCCATCTGTCGAGGGCCCCCCGTCCACACAGATCATCAGGTAGCCGTCCAGGAGAACCTAGGGCGGGCGTGGGGCAGACACACAGCCTGCCATGAGCCGCAGCCTCTCTGAGAAGATGGCTGTAGCAGGGGCCGAGGCAGGTGAGTCTGACTGCATGTGGAGCCCACCTTCCCA